TCGAATGAAAGAATAAAGCCACGTAATTATTGAGACAGAAAGTTCAGAGTTTCGTTAGGTAAAGAGAAAATATCAGTGAGTTTTTATTACGCTTCAAAGCAGTACTAGTATTAAGGTTTCTCTAAGTTTTGATAAAAGTAAATAAATAAACAATATTTGAAAACATTTCCGCAAAAATAAATTTTAAAAATAATAATAATAAACTTGACATCTGCAAATTTAAAACTTCAGTCTGAGCGTCAAAGAAGAATTTATCATAAACTTCTTAAAAAAAAAAAATAGTAAAACCAGATTTCCAAATATCAATAGAAACAAATTTAACAATGAAAGAACATAGCCTTTATTAGTAATTAAAATCTAATTAAGTGAACATGAGTTTAAAAAAATTCTGAAAGGTTTCAGATTTTAACGATCGTTTGTTAAGGTTTATGCTATCGCTAAGCTCGCAGTCTACCTGTCTGCTGTTACACTCAAGCCAACTGATCCTTTTTTTTTTTTTTTTTTTTCTTTTTAGTTTTATTATTAAACATAATTTTCTTCGCACTTACGTCATATACAACTCAATAGCAAAATTACAAAAACTTTAAAAACAGCATAACAGTATACGATTAGAATTCGCAATGCAGCAATGAGTGTTGGCATAAAAACATTTCTGTTCTTTTCAGTCTTTACTCATTTCATCATGACAACATTCAATTTTCTTACTAAGACATCTTTACAAAACATTTTTTTGTCCTTTTATTATTAATATTTTGTGTCTTTACTTCATTAAATATCACGTTCTTGGTTCTTACGATACATAAAATTTGATTCAGCAGCAAAATCGCAATAATATATTAATATATTATATTTAAAATGTGCGCTAGAGATAAAAATGCTTTTTTTTTCTTTCTTTCCGAACATTGTTTCCATTGCTCGCTTTGAAATCGTTGAGTTTGTTAATGAAAAATTCGTTAAAGTTTTACAAAATATGAAATAAATAATAAAAAAAATTTGAAATTCAAAATTCGGGCTTCCAAGTGTCTCATGCTCGGGTCGAAGATTGCGTTATTCAAAATTTTCCGGCTATAGGTATGGTCATTTTTTCATAATTCGAGAAACATACATGCATTCATGAAGATTCTTCATTATTTCTTTAAATATAATGCAGGGCGATAATATTTGGTGGCAACAAATAAAAAAGTGATACGCCGTTTATAGCGAACCGACGCAAAATGCCATTTCGAGACCAATAGCCCTTTTGGGCTAACGCTTCTTTAGGATAAAAATTGTGCAACAGTAATTAATACTCTTTTCAGAATTCTAAATAAGCTGTGCTGATTTAAAAGATTTTGTTATTCAGTTGTTAAATTTATGTGAAGTAAGTGCGAAGAAAGTGATGTTTTATGAATAAAGCTAAAATGATAAATAAATATGTTGGTCATCTTATAAGGAAAAAACGAACACTGACTGTCATAAACTGAAACAAAGATTGAAAAAGAAATGTATGGCAACGCTTAAAGGGAATTCTAAAGCTAAAATTTTGTGACGCCACTTACCTAATGCGCATGCGCTGCTCGTGAACATTCTCCTGTGTCCAAGACAGACTGGCGACAATATTTGGTGCTATTACGAAATACGTATTTCCTCGAATTTCATTAGAGATACATTTCTTATTCAATTAATTCCGTTCTCACTTCGCGGAAAGGCAAAAGTAAATAAAATCTCAAAATAGCCAAAATTTTTTCTTCATTCTCACTGAGCCGGTAAAATTACACTTTCGTGTAATAGTTCCGGCGATATGTTTATAAGTTATAAAATGAATGAAATGTAACTCTGTTAAATGAACCTAGCGCCAGAGTGTCAACATGATAAACGAATATAGTGAAGTTAAGGAGTGCATTTATTCCATTTTGGTTTATGCGCTATCGAAGAAGTAGATTTAATTCAATCCAATAAAGTTTAAATGAAATGCAAGAAAAAGTACGTATAATTTAATACTCCGTACAAGGAAGTTATATGGTGTATATATCAGATTTCTTTCTTATATTTATATTTGGGATAGGGCGGATATCTTCATCTGTAAAAATTGTTACTGCTTAGATATGTAGAAAAAAGGGTCTAACAGTTATTATTATTTTTTTTGGCTCTTCTCGCATGCTTATTCTCAAAGTTTATATGAGCTCTCAACACACAAAATTACTAACTCACTCAGTATCTGAAAACAATGGAAAATATCAAAATGTTTAATTGTTATTAAGCTGAGGATGTTAACGTTTTGTAAAGCAATTTAAAATGGAATCCTAAATTTTAGGATCGATTTTAGTATTTTGGGAAAAAATTACATATTTAAATTTGTGAATTTTAAGATTCCAATTTTACAATCAATAGGACGTTATAAGCCTTGTTCTTATGATTTGCAATCTGCGAACTCTTTTGATGTTAGTGTAGTGGCTCAGTTATTGCATGAGAAATAATTATTTTTTATTTCATATATTTGTTCATGGGTTTAATTATTTTATAAAATTAACTTTAATTTTTTGTTAATATTCATATTTATATTTCTTTTATGCTGAATGGCAATAAGTAGTTCATATTTATATTTAAATTTCTTTATGCTGAATGGCAACTAGTTCTAGTTCTGATTCATGATTGCTAGGTTTTGGTTTCAAAACGTTGCTCGTAGCTGGAAAATAAAATGCAATAAACTTAGCTATTTGTTTATAATTCATGCTGTTCCTAATCATAAATTAATTTTAAACATTAGTAGCCAAAGCTACATTAGTTTTAAGATATTATAAATGAGCTTAGAGGCATGGGTATCTTACTTTGGTTATTGTTTGCTATAGTTATGAATTATTTGTCACTTTAGTTATTTCGAACGTTAGTAGTGACATCAGCAACTTGCCAGAGTTTCAAGCCTCCTCTTATTCACTTCATTAGAGGATCGGAAGCTTACTAGTATTAGCTATAGGATATCTTACGAAATATTGAATGTTCCGTTATTTTCTTAGATTTGTTAAATATAAACCGTTTGTTTAAAGTATTGGAATACTCTTGATAGTTTATTTTTAGAATTTGCTAAATAATTTTTTATGTTACCTAGATAAATCGTTTATAGTAATAATAATTTACTAAAGGTAGCTACATTTTAAACGTTCTTTTTAACCGTGTCTTCAGTCATCCGAGATAGAATCGACTTGGGAGTTTTATTTCGGATAACTGAAGAATGGGAATTTATCTCCGATATTCAGAACTCTAGTTTAGTCATTTTTATGATTTAGCACTCGAATGAATAAATGACTTATATATCAAATTTAAATCAATATAATTCTGAAACGCATGAATGATCACTTCCTCTACTATTTAAGTAGCTTAACATAGAATAAAATGTTGTAATTAGTATAACAGTACTTGATGGATAAAATTGTTATCTAAATAGTCTTATATTGTTGTTATTTTTTTATTTCTGAAATGAATTTTTTGCTGTTTAAATACTGGCAGTCACAATCAGATTCAAGTATGCTAATTTACGCAACAATTAGAATTTTAAACAGACATATATCTATAATTACGATGGTTTAAATGTTAAAAATTAAACATTTGTTGTTAAGATTTTTCATTCATAAACAATATATTAGCAGTGCTTTTGTCTGTACATTAGTGCTCTTGTATACGTAGATAATACATTTCAGACCATAGCAAAAAAAAAATATACAAAAAAAAAAAAAAAAAAAAAAAAAAAGCTGCCGGATCCGTTTACCTGCTACAAGGAAATAAATTTTTAACCTTCCCTTCGAGGCTTTCAGACCTTCACCCATAAAAAGACTTTTTCATAACGCACGTACGCTTCGGGGACTCCGTAGCTCGCTTCTCATTAAAGAAAGAGAAAACATTCTCTCTCTCGCGCGCGCTGCAACACACACTGAATGCGAAAACGATTCTTCATTTATAGTAATAATTGTTCAATTTTATCGGCGCCTGCATCTATCGCTCATACCAATAAATTTCTCGACCCTCCTGATGGGAATCGCCCAGCGTTTGGAAATAACCTTGAAGCCACTAACTGGAGGAGAAACACGCTTAGTGTTTTCATAATGTTCACAAAAAGTAATTCGCATATACCAGTTATCACTTTTACTTATTTCATATCCATTTTGGGTAACATTTTGAAGATTTATAGATGAGTAGTGAATGCATCTATCTATCTTTGATCACTGCCATTAATTTAGGTAAATATAGGTCAAAGCAAGATTTTTCCAAATCCATCTCTATTTTGAAAAAATAAATTCAAGATTATTTTTAAAAATACACTAATTGTTTTACATTCTAGCTTCTCATATCCTCTTTCCCTATTCTAGATTCGAGCCCAGGCCTGCCTTGTAGCTTTCTAGCTTTCTCTTATAACCACAGTCTTAATATGGTTGCGTACTTTCATATTGAAATTATTAATCTAATATAAGAATAAATTTCTAATTCTTGAGAAATTTAAGGAAACACAGGAAAGTCAGAGAAAATGCAGCTGTTCTACTTCAATGGAAAATATATTTGGAAATGTGGCTATTAATACAAAAATCATATTTATTTATTAAAAGGTAAATGCATTTACATTCATCTCTACAGCTTTCTCCAAGAAGCTGTTTTCTCTTAGTGCTACATGAAAATATCATAATGATTAGTGCTAACGATTCCTAACCTAGATTAGTAAGAAGAAAACAAACCCCAAATCTGTAATATGAATAAAAGTTTCACAAACACCTCTCAAGATTCTGAAAATAATAGGAAAGATAACTCGCTAATAATCATCTCTAGTGTCGCAACTCTGACAAATGGCCAATGCCATTTATTAAACTATAAGGCACAAAGTGAAACAAAAGCCATGGGAGGTGATAAATAGTAAACGCTCTCGAGATATCAGCAGACGCAGACTAAAGTTCAGAATTCAACATAGGTTAGAAATGCAATGTGTTTATTTTACGTCAGCAATCTTCATATAAGAAGATTAATGATTCAAGTATCCCTTTAAGTATCGACTTGGAGCAAGTTTGTTTAGCCTAGATTAGTAATAATACAACTGTTAGAGCAAAAGCTAGATTATGACGTGCTGTTTTCTCAATAAAATCTCATTTTAATGTGAGTAAGACACTTTTTGGTTTCAAAAAATAGTTTTTATAATTTTGAATTTAAAAAGTATTGTAAACTTTTCTGATTCCAAAAATATATAACATTTTTAATGTTTGAGATGTTAGAATCTCGCTTATAGAGCTCAATTATATATTCTTAAAAACGGAATAAAGATTTAAACCATTAAGAAAAATGTTTATAATTCCGTTTGCTAATGAAGAACAGATTAATTAGATTCGAATCCTAAATTAAAGGTCTTTGCCAAAAATGGTACATCCTGAGAACTCATTATTTGTTTCTTAAAGACTAGACACTAGGCATTGCGGGTTTTTAGTCCAAAGGGGCTTTATCCCTGAAAGACTATTGTTTTTATTTTGCGATTTTGCGTTGGTTCACTATAAATGGCTGTTTCACTTTTCAAACTGTTGCAACGAAATGTTAGATTCCTGCATTATACTTGAAGAAATTAAATAATGAAAAATCTGCTAAATGTATGTATATTTCTCGCATTGTGATAAAACAACGGTACATAGAGCCATCGAATTTTGAATGACGTAATCCTTCTACGAATATGGCCATGTGGAAGACTAAATTTGAAATTTGGAATTTGTTTTATTATCGATTTCATATTTTGTAAAACTTTAACGAATTTTTGATTAACAAACTCAAGGATTTCAAAGCGAGCAATGGCACTCTACGGGGAAAAAGAAAAACCTTTTTATCTCCAGCGCGCGGAACTGTGTATAGGAAATTCTAAAGATATGCTCGTTTTAAAATTATTTTGGGACATTGCTATTGAACTGAATTTTATGGTTTAAATGCGGAGAACGTGATATTTAATAAATAAAAGTAGCAAACAAAATGTTAAAAAAACACCCCTTTGGACGTAATTAAAATCTGAATTTTTATTTTATTTTTTTCGGGGGAGGATATGGTAACACTCACCAAGTTGCACAGAAGATAAATGCAGGGTAGTGTAACATATTCGGAGTAGCATTATGTAACACAAATTTAAAAAAGTATTTTTTAATTTTTATAAAATTCAAAAAAAGGTGTTGCAGAAAATAAAGCTTTGTGCGAATGGTAAATATTAGAACAAGATATATCGAAATAATGGAAGGGGCATAGTATTTGGAGACCTACAACATCTAAATGAAAAAAGAAAGGAAATAAAAACAGTTTCAACGTACAAAAAAATATACTTCGTGAGGTGTCCACCTCGCAAAGCATAGTTTAACCCACCATATAATCACCTTTTCTCTTTCCAATTTCCCGCCAGAATGCAGGTAAGTTCGCGTGTATTTAAAGGGAGGTTTTCAGATTGTTGAATTAAAGCGTTTTCTGCCCCTTTAAAGAAGCCCTGTTAAAAGGCCTTCTTATTAGGTTTGATATTCTAAGATAAAAGATCCAGGCTTTGGCCTTGCATTATACTTGCTGATAGTCAAATATACGGCAGTGAAGTCCAAGCTAACTTCGCGTTTACCCTGTGTAGCCTTTGGCTGTTAGTTAGTTAAATTTAGCTTTACATTTGAATTACTTCTTCGAATTTCTCGCCACAAATGCTGACAGAGTTGGAAGCACCATGTATGCCTTCTCTTCCTCTTATTAAGTTTTAAATAAAGGGCCTTTTACACTCTTTTCAATATTGGTATTTCTATTGTTCTTCAGATACAGCGATAAATCTCTTAATGTCTATCAATAGTTGGATCACAAGTTACAAATATTGGAAGACTTAAAACCTTATAACTTATTATTTAAAGAACTTCAAACTGCATAATACTTTCACAGACACTAAAAAATTTTGCTTATTTTAGATATAAGAGGTTACTGATTTTCCTCCTTTGATGTATGTATAAGTTCAATACGGCAGCTTTTATACACGTTTTTTTTTTTTTTTTTTTTTTTTTTTTTTTGAATGTGTATACATTTTTCGGACATCATCTGTATATACATATTTGACTGGAAAAAACTTATCAAAATTTTTATTTAAAAGACATAAATCTAAAATAAATTTACTTATTAAATTTAAATACAAAAATCAAGTTTGGAAAGTAAATTTTGCTGTTATTCTCAGAACCTTCAACCGATTAAAGCTAGAGTGAAAATACTTTACCTCGCTCAAAATTCTTTTATTATTTATTTATAAAAAAACGTTAATATTGAGTATAAACAGAAAATAATTTTATAAGCTCCGTACAGTCCCACATGTATGCATCAATAATTGCATACAAAAAGGAAATAATTTAATAATGACGATTCAAGTATGAAAATTTTCTCCGGAAAAATTATTAGATGTTGTATTTTGTTTTTGCTTCTTATGCATCATATTTCGTTTAAGAATTTCATAAATAAACGTTTACAAAATAGAGTCATTTATTTAGTTGCAAAACTATAATGAAAATTAAAAGTGCAAACAAAATAAAAACTCTAAAATCTGTAGAATGAAATTTAAAAATTAATTATTATCAAAACATGTTTCGGCTAAGAAAAGTCTAAAATTTTCTTGTTTTAGATTTTATTAATGATTTGCTTTCTTAAATTTTATATTAATTACTTCATTTTAAAAAATATCTTAAGTTCCAAAAAAGAAGTCGTACAGAGAATACGAAAATATTTTTGTATACTTCTTTCTGTATTCATCTAGTGGTAAAGTATCAATGGTAAATATTTCCTATTTGCAGTCATGCAGTTCTATATGCGCTAACCTAGCGTTCGCGGTTTCAGATTTCCCTAGTTTATCTCTATTCCAAATGTTCTTAGAAGTTAAAGAAAGAAATAATTTATAAATTATAAAATGCTTATGAATCGATTATAAGCAAGAACACGGTGAAATAAAACAGTACAAATGCTATAATGAATGTTTTTACGAGCGTACTGATCATGAGCCCGAATTCGCATGTGCGATTTATAGTGTTGTTTTATTGCTTAAGTAGTGCTTTGGTGGAAAACTTGGATTTTCATTATGCTTGCTTTCATTGGCATCCCTAAAAACTCTATATAATAGTATATCCCTAAAAGCTCTATGTATACTATATAGTAAAGGTACACCTTTTTTTTTAATTGCTGGATCATCTTTTCGCTCGTTTGAGTTATTTTATATAATTTTCGTGCGCGTATGTAAAAGAGACAAACACCCTAAATGTACATGTTAGCTTACAGTCCGCTTTAACATAAATACAAATAAATACGCTCTGTGTCTCTATATATAGTTTCACAGTTCTTTAATCACATTTATGCATTAAAGCGCAGTATATATTGCGGTTTACAATTTGAGTGTAATAATATAATACCATTTAATGATGACTTCATTTCATGCACGTAATTTGTCAATTAAGCACAGCTTTTTTTCATACATTTTATGAGTAACGAATTCTATATGGCTTTCGCTTTTAGCCGTGATTTCATCATAGAGGGTTGCCTTATTGGAATGAAATGAAGTGCTGAAATTTAAGAATTACAAATATTATATCGAAAGAAAAAAAAGGAAATCAAAAGCAGAAACCTCGTTACGTTTATCAAATCCGAAATTTATTCATCTGGAGAAAATCCACAGAACTTTAATAAAATGATGGAAAGCTCTCCTCCTTGAAATTCAGTAAAACTCTTTCATATTGTCTTGTCATATGTCTGTTGCTACAGATAGCACATTTCTTATTCCCAATTTAAATTTATTTTTTAGATAATTTATTGTTTTATTACTTTGATCATATAATAAATTATCTAAAAATATTTTGCAGTTTCGAAATAATATAGATTATGTGAATCTTTTATTTCAGCTATGTGAATATAAACATTTGTACCCCGTGCTGCTTTGCTGCAAAAGAAACTTTACACAAATAGAAATTTCACACTAATAATTTATGTAGATAATGTCATACCTCAGTTTGTTCAATACATTAGGATATATATCAGCGAATTATGAGTATGATGGCTTCCCATAATGACATTTCGTTTTTCTTTCTGACGTACCGTTTCTAACCAGAGTGCATATCTAATAATTATTTTGCTATGGATAGCTAGATCGTACATACACTTCAAAAGAATATACTCAGTTATACGCCGGTTATTAATAAATACGTGTCAAGAGGCTAGAAATACAGTAAGTTACTTTTAAATAGACCAGGCAATGAATCAGATTTAAAGTTCTGCTGGTAAACTCTGATTTCAAATGCATGATGGCATTCATGGCTAAGAAATTCTTAATATTTAATAACGTGAAAAGTTTTCTCTTTCAAACATACTTAAAATATATGGTAAAAAATATATAGAATGCAACGATGGAAAAAATAAACATATAATGCCTCTCAAAATAATTTGAAAATTTCGGAACCGTTTTCCATATCTTCGCACTCTTAAAGTCGAATTTTCGTCCTGATTGAGAAATTCATGTCTAGACTTGCCTCCTGATAATTCAGCGTTCTGGTTTCAGTTATGTGCCCATTATAGAGAAAATATATTTTAAACAATTAAAGAATTAGTCAATTTGCAAGTTGCAAAATATTCTCCATGTAGAATAGGAACGTAACAGAATAAAAACGCACTCAAATCCATATTTTCATGGTAATAATCCCTATAATGAGTACTAATGTGTGTGTATAATTCAGAGAGGTCGGTCATTGGTACCCATTGTTACCCATGAAAAACATAATTGCTGTTCTTCTATCCTCCCTTGTTACTATAGGCAATACTACGGAGTACAGATATAATTATTTTTATCACTGATATCTTCTGCTAGAAGTTAAGCTCAAATGTCAGAATGCCTAACTTTCATTCCTACAGAAAAAATACGTTGGAAATACTATATAATACAGCATAAGGCACGCTTCATTATTATTTCGTTTAATATTGTTAAAGTACAGAGCTAGCATAAATGATTCATTCGTTTTGAAAAGACTATATTTTCAAAAGTATTTCACTTACACACATTAAAGATATACGAAAAGAGCCGCAATTTAAGTTTATACACCTCTTACAAATATTCAGTAAGTGCCCCTTTGGTGCCACGACGCACGTCCAGACGATAATCTAGCTCATTCTATATATTTTGTAGCATTGTTGTCCAACCGCAAAAAACTGTGTGGAAGATTTTGCGTCAACGGTTGCATTTAAAACCGTACTATGTGTAGCTCCTGCGACAATTAAAACCGGAGGATTACGCCTGTCGACTAGATTTTTGCGTCAACATGCAGGAAGCATTGAAGAATGAAGATTTCGCCATCAAGTTGATATCCAAGCGATGAAGCAATGTTCCGCTTGGTAAAATAGTGAAAACAACTTGGTGAGTTTGTGGTTCTTTTCATATATTTTTCATGTATGTACACGTAATACTTCTGAAAATATATCTTTTTCACAATGAATGAATCATTTGTGCTAGCCCTGTACATTATAAACATTATTTGATATTACGTGCCGTTTCACGTACCTCTGCTATGGTCTGAAATGTATTATCTACGTATACAAGAGCACTAATGTACAGACAAAAGCACTGCGAATATATTGTTTATGAATGAAAAATCTTATGAATGAAAAAAGGATTGTTTGGAGCATGCCATAATTTACTGTTTAAATCTTCGTTAGACTGTGTAGAAGGAAAAATAGTGTAGAAAAATTTCTACTAGCTGTATTATTTTTCTGAGAGATATTGCGTCAGTACATGAAAATAGTTGGAGATATATTCCGTGGTGATTGAGTTAGGAAAAATGGCCTACTCACCATTTCTTAGATAGATGTAGAAAAATACACGCGGTGACTAATTTTAATTGTTGCTAGGTTTTAATTGGTTCTGAAAAGATGGCGGACTGTGTCTGTAATTTGGTCTGGAGTTGACTAGGAAAGATATCAACGAGAAAAGGAGTTTTTTGGGTTAGCATTTGATTTGCTTGGCTCAGATAAGAAGTTTAGCAAAAATAGCGGGAAGGAGAATGCGGGTGGTAGAAAGGCATGTAATTTTTTGAGGTGGAGAAAGAACATTTATTGGAGATGACCTGCAAATTTAGAACGATAAAGGTTACTGCATTGATCTGATGAAGGGTATCAGTTTTACGAAAGTTTAAGAAATGACTGAGTGATAAATGTTCCTGCCCTACACGAAAGAAGTGTTCCAGTTTTATAGACACTTAAGAAAGTGTTAAGAGATAAAAATTCTGCTCCCAATAATGATATGCGATGTTCCGGGCGTTGCGTTCCTGTTTCCGAAGTGTTAAAAAGAGACTGCTCTGGACTGATAATTAGTTTGCGACTTCGAATATAGGCTACTGGCTCCAACTGATGTTGTTTTATTATCCTGGTTTCGTATTCCTGTTTACGTAGTATAATAATGAAACAGTTCCGACTGTTGATTAGCTTAGAATAGCGTCTTCCAATTGATGATGTACAAGAATCTGGCTGAGTGTTCCTGTCTACGAAGTGTAAATAAGAGACTGCTTCGAAATGAAATTTAGCGTGATGGAGGAAACGGTCCAATCTAAGAGTAATAACGAACTGTGTTAATAATCACGGGTGACTGTGTCAAGGACAGGTTTCATAAATTTAAAAACTGCAGTCTGACTCTCAGAATGCTATTCTTCCACATCGCGTATGTTTATTTTAGATAAATTCCCGAAGTCTGCTCATGTAAGTACTCTTTATAGTCTGTAGATTTGATTATATATTTATAATCAGGATTAATGTTAGTTATTTACAGCTGTGCTTGATATTATATTATATTTGAAAGTAAGATTAAGAATTTGCGTTTCTAAATTTTGAGATTAATCATTTAATAGCATAAAATCCTCTCCTTAACATTAGGTACACAGGTAGGCTCAGAATGTCTTAAAGCTTTAAAAGTAGATTAGTAGTAGAAAAACAAATAAATTTTATATTATAACATTCACGGCAAGCATTAGTAGCACAAAACAAAATAAAATATATAGGAATGCAAGCAAAGTAATGTTATATTTTTATTGGCTATATGAGTATACTAGTAATTTCAAAGTGAGTTCATTCCATCCACCGTAGTCCGTGCCTTGTAATGCTGTGGTATAGACAAGGTTCAGGTTATGAAACTGGAAGCTAAGGAATAATTATTACGTAAACCTTCTCTCTAATATTTTAAAGTAGCAAATGTTTTAGAATTGAAAATATGCGTAAATAATCGACCCGTTTTTAATATTACATGAACATTTGGAGTTATTTTTGAAAACGGAAACCAGGGGCATGTCTTCGAGTTTCCACTTTGTAGCCCTTTTGCAAAAATCAAGTTCTACATATGGACCGGTAGACATGTTAAATATATCAGGTTATTAATTCAACGATCGTTGCGAGAACATAAGTGTTCGAGACTACAAAGCTCTCCTATACTACTAGGCTTTTAAGGTAACTATTGAGGAAGAAATTAGTGAAGAATAAGTTGGATGATTATGATGGTCGAAAAGGTAGCTTACGTCGGGTCTTGAGTTGCCCAATGCATTTTTAACACACAACGCTCTTTAGCAGACGTCCATGCTGTATGCGTATTTGCACACAGATGTATTCTATGAGAGAAAGAGAAATTATGTTTTTTTCTTAGAATTGTTTTCCTTCCAAACTACTGGCGTGTTACAATATTTAAATAAATTATCCGAACGTGTTTAACTGTGGCGGTATTTTTAGAGCTCTAAATTCTTTTTTACTGCGATTGCACCCACACACGAGTCGGGACACTAAACAGATTTCAAGGAACAAATCAAAAATAGAACTATAAAAATAACATGTATAAAAGTGATTAATTTAGATACACTTACAGGTTTCTTTGATAATTTCGATTTAAAATATGCCAAATTTAGCAGGTCCGCGATTTTATGTTTAGTCACTTATGACCAAGAATATCATGATAATGAAAAATTTATTTTTTAATTTCTAGTACATTTAACAAAAAACATGTAACTTTTATGCATTTTATTTTAATGATAAAATATGAAACGTGATTTTCGAATATTTGTATGCATTAGAATTACTATGCAAAACCTTTTGTTTTGTATTAGTTCTGATGGCTCAGATAATAAATATTTAATTATTTGGATTATTGTATTCTGTATACTGATTAGAATGAAAATAAATTCATTTGCAGACGCAAAAGAACAACAGAAAAAAAAAGTATGATAAGGAACGAATTTGCGGGACATCTGGAATTTGACGTTAGGCATATGTTGAAATTTTGGAAAAAAAAATATTACTCTGTTTGCAGAAATACGAGTGACAAGTAAGTAAAAGGCATTTTAAAACTCAGAAAAAAATATGGATGGAAAACTATTAACAAGGGGAAAAGAAATTGTACAGATGTACAGTTTCTTTTCCTTTATATATTTCCTTTTTTTTTTTCTAATTTCTCGATAAGTCAATAAAAAGCGTTTCGATTTACAGTGTTTTTTGTTTTTTTTTCGAGAATGATAAGATTTTTCATCAAAAGCTCTGTCCTTTTGCTTTCGGATATCTAGCATCTAGCAAATTGTATAGGAGAAATGTCATAGCTAGTAAACTTAATTGCTTCCATTTGATTTTAAACTTTCATCTAGTCATTGGGCTTCTCTGCTTTGTTTTTCTGATTACTTTCAAAGCAAAGATTATCGCATGATATTTGTTGGTGACAGAAGTTTTCAGTTATCTCATCTCTAAAAGTAATATTAATTAAGTATAGGAATTAAAAAACGTGGAAAATAAATATTAATTAAGGAGTTCCTCTTCCCTTTTTTACGTGATTTGTTATCAATAGCATATAATTTTCATTTACTTTATGATTCGTTTTCCCACCCTTCAGAGATTGAATGTATGTTCATAAAGAAACTGATTTCAAAATTTCGATTAATTAAAAGTTCAAATACAAAGAAAGGAGTAACAAAAAACTGAAAAACTCATACATAATTAAACCCACAGATTAAAAATACTGGCGCATGTATTTCTTGGAAGCTAAGAGAAAAAGTTAATTAAAGAACATTTCTTTGTTTTAAATCAAGTTCTAGCTAATTTTTTTTTAATATTTGAAGTAAAACAATGCTTTCTTGAATTTGATTGGAAGTCATGAAATATTAATTTAACGCTTTGAGAATTTCTATGAATTAAGTAAAAACTTCAAAATCCCTATGTTTGAAGTGTAGGCATTATGGTAAGGCAATTTAAATAGCTCTAGTACGTAATTCTTTTTAATTTTAATCAAATTAGTTAATTTTTATGCTACTTTAAATATAATAGAAATTATAACCCAATGACATCTTAAGAGATATTGCCTGCATTTAATAAGTTGACATGTAGATTCAGTATGATAGTTTAAAGTTTCCATGAGGCATTAAAAAAAATTGATTTCTAAGCGGTGCTGCAAGAAGAAACAGAACAAACAGAATAAAGAAAGGGCTTCATATTTTCATACAGACAAAGAGCAACTGAAATGAAGTAGTGAAACAGAAAGCGCACATTTCGTAAAGAGCTAATGATAATTTTAGTAATAATAGATAGATAACACTTATGAGTTACGTTTGCGAGTTAGTTTCTATCCTATGTTTCTTCTTTTGTCACGATACTCGCTCAGGCCAGAGGTTTACGCCAACTGCATGGCAAGTGGCATATTTTAAAAACTAGAATGTAATCTGAACCGTTAGGTAATTGGTGTTTGTCCCGTGATTTTGCCCTTCGTGATAGAAGATTCTTGCAAAGCTGTGATGGAGCTACCGAAGGTTTAGTGGAGTTTCGTAAATGTTAAGAAGTTCAACAGTTTCCGTTTCGACACAAGGTACTGTATTATATACTTGCATAAAATTCTTTAACCATAGTTTCCCATCTTAATCTTTTAAAGTACCGAGAAGCAATTATTGATGCAAATTAAGGAGAGGTTTATAGTTTAGTTTGATGTCATTTAACTGTAACACCCACAATTTGTGGCTAGTAAAGTTTTATACACGAGCTATATTTGTGTTTAGTAATTAAGTAATATTAGCAAGTTCGATAAGTCATCAATAATTTCCTATATCTTCTGTGTTCAGCTAATAGGAGTTGACGACAACTGTTTCTAAGTTATTTTTTAAAATGCCCGAATGTTTTAAGTCTAACATTCCTCTACCATTGTTTCTTCTAAAACAGATGAACAACGACAAGTAACATTCAGACCCTTATTTTTTTCTCCTTACTGCTAGTTGAGGAACGTTTTTTTATTATTACTTGAAATTTAAAAAGTTGCACGTTTTTCGAGAAACTGATTTCTACTGAAGGTTATGAAACTCTCAAATGCAAAACTTATACAGTGGTACTTCCTTATAAGTCATTAATTATTTCGAGATCCTTAGACATATACCAAACTGAATGTATGCCAGGAGAACTTCACCAATAAGAAATAAACGGAAAATAATTAATCCATTCTCATAAAAATATTATTGTTATTATTACAACTCGCTTTTATACTAAAATAAAGGTGCAGTGGGTGAAATTCGCACATAAATGAAACACTGCACATGATACCGATGTTATTCTGCTATCCAGATCAAAAACAATTTTTCAACATGCTTTAACTATCAAGGTATATTTGTTTGATAATCGATTTCACCTTCTTAGCAAGTTAGCCCATTTAACAGTGTCTTTATTTTTCACAATCGTAGGCAATATTCTCGGCATAGCCAAATCCCGGAAGCGCAAGCCATCTTCTTTTTTAGGGGAGTTGGTTTATGAGTTAGCTGCCATTTAATATTTGGTCAAAGGAGTAATAAACAAATTGATGCTGAAAGCGAAGATCATGAATGTCTACGCACAGAGTATAATAATACATATAAACTGGATGAATGGAGTTGGACAGAAGAGACTGGTCATGATCCAAGGGAACAATTATTTTACGGTTAGAATAAGATTATAAAATACTCTACGTTTGCTTTCAAAACTGTAGAGAATTAAATTGGGAATAGTATATTTCATTCATTACACTAAACGTTTTCCATTCTTCTGGAATGACAGTCTGGACAAAAAAAGTATCAGAAGGTATACAGAATAAATTTTCAAGGAAAAAGGGTTATAGAATTACACATGAAATAAAAATAAAATCCACGTTTCGGACATATTATTTAAGGAAGGAATTGCGGCGAAACCTGTATTAAAAGCGAACATTGACAGAATTCAGTTATTTCAATAAAACGTTTTGCTTAATGAAAAATTTTATCTGTTTATAAGGTATTTTCTTCCTCTTTTCCTCATGCCTCATGCCTCATGTGGTATAACTGGAAGCATACTCGAAGCGTATTTGAGAGGTCCAGGGTTCGAGTCCCGGTTAGGCCATTACACGTTTTTCACATCTTCTGTTTCAAAATACCTAATTACTCTACAAATGGCTTCTGAGCTAAAAGGTGGTGGGCAAGTATATAAAGGTAAGTATATATTAACAAGTCTTTAACGGTCAATATATTGACCGTTAAAGACTATTACGATGAGTGAACAATAACCTTATAAATTTATGATGAAGTTTGAAAATTTTTCTTACTTACCCTGAATGTTTTTAAACCATTGAAAAGACATCACTCATTCACATGGGAAAATCTTTATTAGAGTAGATCAAGGATGGTAAGGAAAATCAATGCTTTAAACACAAAATCTTGGTTATTTGATGCGCAGAGTTTATTCACATAAACTGTTAAAACACAAGGAGAAATTAAAAAAGTTCGTCATTTCAGCGATGACCAAGACGCATTAGAACGATATTTACACTGGGCAAAATTACCGATGACAATGACACCTGGTCCGTCAGTCTAGCTTCATTATCGAAATTCCACTCAGTGCTGTTAGTGGTTTACTTGTCCAGTCTTCATTTCGAAAGAAATTTCACGTGAAAAAAAACTAACAAGTGCACTTGCAGTCTTCATTTAAATCTAAGCAAGCGTTATTCTCCCTATAGTAAGTGGATGAATTTAGGAAATCTAAATTAATATTTTGCTTATACCAACGAAAAGTGTTTGCATCATGAAGCAAATTTTCATTTTAGATGTTTAAATCCCGTAACAGAAAGTTGATACACAAAAGCCGGGGGAGGAGAGACGATCGAAATCACCTTTATTCGATATACTCCAGTACCAGTAAAAGAAAAATGGTGAAACCGGGAAATTTCATTGTGTAGTGTGAAAACGATACCTTTTAAAATAATCAAGACTAAAATGTGTGGCTTGTTCTCACAATAACTCTGCTAATTTATATGTCTATGTAATTAAATATTGCCATAATGGCTGTAACCAGACAAAATGAATTGTAATGCGAATAAAGAGTTTGAAGCATTTTTAAAAAACACACTAACGATTTCTAATTAACAAATTCAGTTACTGCAAATTTCACATATCTGATATAATGTTTCCTCGAAAATTTTGAATACAGGGATATGTACACATGTTTTAAGACATTTTTATGATAATCATTCCCCATTCGATATTATTTTGCTCTATTGTGAAAGTGGTTGTCTCTGAAAATATGACTATCGGGGAAAACATAAATCTTAGAATTATTAATTTCAGAGGTAGTTCAGTATAAGAAATTTTACCGTATGCACAACCTTTTGTAATAACCCATGATTTCGCATTATTTTGCTTTTCAGCAGAATTGGTGGTTTTGGAGAAGTGATGTTAAATATTGGCTTTATTTTGAATTTATGTTCTCAGAAATTTTAATCGCTTTCAGATATAGGCGTCCTAAAAAAGTGGTCTTAATGAGAGAGATCGGTGTATATTTATTTGAATAATTTTTATTTAATATTTAACTAAAAACAATTACAAAGGTTGGAAAGATGTAACGTTCTATCTTTAGTTTTAGACCCTTTCTCGGGAGATAGCCTGGGGTAAAAGCGGCCTTGTGCGTTACGACAAAAGTTACCATTATTACTGCATATAACTTAGACCCTCGTAAGATGTTGGCTCAGAGAATGGCGTTTTTTAGTACAGTTTTCTGCTCTTTTTGAACTGCCAAGAGCTGAAAAGAACAAAGACCGATGGCAGAAAACCTCGTTGTACTCACTTTATAAACTTTCAGTAGCAGTAGTAGTAGACCGAGATGTTCTAACGTTTCGTGGAGAAACATATATATTTATACATACACACATGCACCATATCAGAGGGCACGCTGCACCCTATCTCCGACTGCATATGGAGTGAAAATAATCAAATGAATCAGGCGCCATTGACCTGTTTTATCGCCCGTAATAAGCGTTATAGAAAAAAAGCCCTACAGAATGAGGAATACCAAAAAGAAAAT